TGTATAATAGACGTGAGTACTCACCAAGGTTGAGTGCGTCCGAATGTCCCGGCGACATCACAGCGACCAGGAACAGTAATAATCCAACAGACCGCGGGGACCACATCCTTCTCCTCCACCTCCTCGTCGTCTCACCGCCCAGATAAGAAACTCGATGACACTGGCGATGATGATGATGACGACTCCTGCTGTTGTAATCCTCATCCACCGAGAGACGGCGATGATGGTGAAGATGAAAGTCTCGACGACGATGAAGATGAATTCGAGAAGTGTTATCTTTCATCTCAGTCGACATATCCATGGAATTTGTTTCAGAGCCCATCTCACCGTCCAATTCAAACCCGCATTTTCGCTTTTTATCCTTCTTCGAATACTTCACCACAGCATCGAACCTAAAATCGGCTTCCATTGTTTAAAGATCCGATTTTCAAACACATTCAATAAGGAAACACAAAAACTAAACTAAAAACAACCGGCCAAAAAAATGTACATGTATTCAGCGGGCCGAAATAAAACCAATTCAGTTGTCGTGTTTTCACTCCGGGGTGAGAAATTTCCAACAAGAGGACACAAGAGGCAGTTTAAGCTCACACCATGCGCGTGTGCTTAAGGTAAGGGTTCAAGTCCTCCTGGTCAAACCTCTAAAGAAAATTCCAGGAAGTGTGACGTCACCACACTGCCACCCGAGCGGTCATCCACATTCCATGGTTGTGTCCCCTGGAAGACAGGAAAACAGAAAAAAACATGGTAAGAGAAAAAAACATGGCTTTAGATTTTTTTATTTTAAAAAAAATAGTTTTTGTTGTAATTTTCCGGCACTAGCACCACACATAAGGCACATAAGGCACATAGCTGCAAAAGATTATTATAGATTTTAGGCCTTAAAACGTTTAAAAGCAACACACAAAGAAAAGGAGGAGAGATGAGGACGGTTGATATTTGACAGGAAAGGTGCAAACCACAGAAAATTACCCCTCAACCACCCACTAAAATTACTGAATAATAACATTGGAATATAATAATACAAATGTTTATGAAGTTACTTTTTCCGGCTCCACTGAAACCATAGCTCACTGATCAGGAACTTAATTCTGACAATTCGTTTTGAACATTTTATCATTTTTAGAATTCTAAATATTTGCGAACAGTTGGCTCATCCGTACCGGAAATGGACGCTACAATCTGGGGTCCCGCCTCTTAGATCACCTTAATTTCATTTGGGCATTGAACATTTGTGGTAGAGAGAAGGAAGTGGTCACCATAAAACACACCATGATAAGAAAAATCGTGACAGGAAAGTTAGAGGTGAAAGGTCGACTCGCTCGCTAACTCTGAGTTAGCAAACAGCCCTCTCAGAAATTAGAAAAAAATAGTTTTCATGTATTCTATTTATTCTATTTATTTATTTATCCATTTATT